GAACTGAAAGCCGGGAGCCAGCAAAAGCTTTAACAGAAAAAAAAAGAAAAGAAAAGAAAAGGGCAAACTTGATGCCTTCTGCAGTCGTGGTATGAGATGATGTGACTGTTTGGGCGCTGATATCAGGCTGTGGACGTACTGGCGACCGTTTTCCCGCAGGCAGGTGTATGCAGAAAAAGGGGCACAGGAAGGTTTCTGAATGGGCAATAATCCAACACGGCAAAGGCGCAGCTACGGAAAGCCCAATTCCAGGCAGGACTAGGCAAACTTGATGCCTTCTGCAGTCGTTGTATGAGATGATGTGACTGTTTGGGCGCTGATATCAGGCTGTGGACGTACTGGCGACCGTTTTCCCGCAGGCAGGTGTATGCAGAAAAAGGGGCACAGGAAGGTTTCTGAATGGGCAATAATCCAACACGGCAAAGGCGCAGCTACGGAAAGCCCAATTCCAGGCAGGACTAGACCGCGCTTTAAACCCTCTTGCTCTGAAAGCTGAAACAAGCTCACGTTAACTCGTGTGATGCAGAGCACCCAGGTGTGCGGTCAAGCACCCAACGTTCATCCCCTGTTTGAGAAAGGCAAAGTCCCCCAGCACCACTTGGAAACCCTTCCAGTGCCTTCAGCTGGATCCCAAAACAAGGCGGACCGACGTTTTCCTTGGGATTTCAAAACAAAAGCTGTGGATTTCTGTCTCGGGTCATCTTCTCCATGGGCTTTTTGTGGAGCCTGGGTATGGTCATTGGCCCTGCTCCAGGCATGGGGAACAGGAGACCTCCCATCGGCCTCACCGTGGCAGTAAACCTTAAAACTGAACTTGTAAATACCCAGTTTATGGTTTCAAAAGAGTAATGTCATATATATACATAAAAAAAAAAAAAAATCAGACCTGTATTCCAAATGCAACAGTTTTCCATCGTGCTATACAAATTTATCTAGGTAGTTTAGACGACCCATTTCATGGGAGGTACATTTACAGAAAACAACTGAACAATCAAAATGTATTGAAATTTCCTAGAATAAGGAGAAACGCTCGTTCAAAATTGTGTATGTTTCCTTTTATCAAACTTTACAGGGGATGTTATAAACCATTTGTAGTCCAAAAGCAAAAATCAGCTTTTTTTTGGCTCTTGCAGAGATCTAATTCCGATGGCGACACATAACTGTTGACAAGTCCTATATTGACAAAATACGGACTAAAGAATTTAATATTGTTTTATCAAATGGAAACTGGGGCAAGATAAAACACAGCAAATTAATCTCTTCTTTGCCCAGCTTGCCTTTATGTATTTCAGATGAAAATCATAAATAGGTTTTTAGACTCCAGGAAGCCTCTACCACAGCTCATCCGAAAGCAGCTCGCCATGCCCCACACGCATAAGGGTTGTGGCAAAAATTCTCTCTTGAGCATCTGAGACTGTGTATTGGGTTTCTGTGGCAAGGTCTTGGTAGTGAGGGGGTACAGGGGTGGCTTCTGTGAAAAGCTGCTGGAAGTTTTCCTGGTGTCTGCCGCTGGCCAAGGCCAAGCCCATCAGCAACGGTGGAAGCGCCTCTGGGATAACATATTTAAGAAGGAAAAACAAACTGGCTGCGTCTCAGTAGCTGAAGAGAGAAGAGAAGTGAGAGGATGGGAGAGAAAACAGCCCTGCAGACACCAAGGTCGGTGAAGGAGGAGGGGCAGGAGGTGCTCCAGGCGCCGGAGCAGAGATTCCCCTGCAGCCCATGGTGAAGACCATGGTGAGGCAGGCTGTCCCCCTGCAGCCCATGGAGGTCCATGGCGGAGCAGATCTCCACCTGTAGCCCGTAGAGGACCCCATGCTGGAGCAGGTGGATGCCCGAAGGGAAGAGGCTGTGACCCCGTGGGAAGCCTGCGCCGGATCAGGTTCCTGGCAAGACTTTGTGGACCCATGGGGGCCATGGGAAGGACTCACGTTGGAAAAGGTCGTGGAGGACTGTCTGCCGTGAGAGGGACCCCACGCGTGAGCAGGGGAAGAGTCCTCTCCCGAGGAAGAAGAAGCGGCAGAGACAACGTGGGATGAACTGACCCCAACCCCATTCCCGTCCCCCTGCGCCGCTGGGGGGAGTAGGTAGAGAAACTGGGAGTGAGGTTGAACCCAGGAAGAAGGGAGGGGTGGGGGGAAGGTGTTTTAAGATCTAGCAGTTTTTCTCCTCTCCTCTGATCTTGATTGATAATAAATTATTTTCAAGTTGAGTCTGTTTTGCCCGTGATGGTAACTGATAAAATGATCTCTCCCTGTCCTTATCTCGACCCATGAGCCTTTTGATTTACTTTTCTCTCCTCTGTCCGGTTAGAGGGGAGTGATAGAGCGGCTTTGGTGGGCTCCTGGCATCCAGCCAGGGTCAAACCACCACATGCTGTAACATTATTCTTGTTTTTATATTACCATTTTTACTGCCTTTGAACATGCCCCGCTCTACCAGTTGCATACCGGCAAAATCAAAACCTGAAAGGAAGCTGATGCATTTACGGGCTTGGCACCCACTTCAGATTTAAGGACTTTCCTGGGAAACGTGTGATTTGATTCTCTAGATGCCGATGCACCTCTTTTTGCCCCTCGGATACCAGAGCTTGCACCTGGGAGCATCATTTGCGTTTCATCACCAGGATTTCTCACCCTCCGTCAGACAGCTGCAGACCAAAGCTTCCACAGGACGGGACAAGCATCGCTCTGTCCATCACCCGTGGGCAAGAACGATGCAACGGCATCAAGGTATCTCCTGCCACCTTCCCCTTCTTGCAGCGGCTGGTCTCTGCTCTCCCAGGGAGCTGCAGCACCAGGGAACGCATTTGCCCTGACCGAGAAACCTTTGAAGCTCTCTCTGAACTCCCCATCTTTTTTTTTTTTTTTTTTTTTGGCACCCTGTGGTACCATCCCTTCCAGCTGACCCCACATCTGGGAGCTTCAAAGCTCTACCACCTCATGCCCTGAAACCTTGGTGCCTCCGCCCAAGCCCCCTCACCTGTCCCACACCCTCCAACAGTGCTTTGCAGCCACGTTAAGGGAATTTTGCTTCCTGAGCTCGGGCACCAGGGCATTAGAGACAGATGACCTACCAGAGTTAATTCGTGTCACTCAATAAGAATTGCATTTGTGGCAGGCGATGGCCCTAAGGGCCGTGTCCAAAGCACAGAGTAATTTAAAAGGCTCCCGCTGACTTCAGTAGGCAGTGGTTCAGGGTGATTAAAGAATTAGCTTTGATGATTTCTAAAGCAAACGAGCTTTTGGAAACTTTGACTTTGTTTGTCTTAATGCTTCTGCCTGGAGTACAGCGAGACCCGGCCCCATCGACTTCTCTTTAACAGAGCTGCCTAAAGATCAAGTAAACGCAAGCGAAGACCTCAGACGTCGTCTTATTAGAATTTCTCATTGAGGTCATGTAAAAATGGAAGCTGAATTTTGATACCAACAAGCCTACGGAAGGTACAACCGAAGGCTGAGAACTTCTCCTCCTTATATACTACAGTCCTGAAGAACGAAAATGCAGCGTATTTCGACAGCGCTGGCGGAAAACAGCATTTATGGCCTGGGAGGGACTGTGTTCAACTCCCGCTCTGCATACCTGCCATCTGCGGACGACACGCTAGCCTCAGTTCATTTCTGTAAGTTATTTGGCTCAATCAAATCAAAAATCCCCACCGTCCCTGGAGCGATTGGGAATGCGGAGGCTGCAATCCCGACACGCCGCTCCCACCCCGGGGATGCGCTTCAGCCAGGCATCGCGCTGCAAGCAGTTACACCAGCCCGGTTGCAATCTTTCCTGTCGTTGCAATCTTTCAGCGTCGTTCGCTGAACAGGTTGCAAACGCTGTTCAGGCTGGACGAGAACAAGGAATTATTCCGGTAGACAGTTTTTCCGTAGCAAGGCAAAGCCTAGAAAGGGGCACGGCCTTCCCAGAGGGACACGATGCACAAAAGGAAAGCGATCCAGACCTCTTGTTTTCCATGGTAGTTTGAGGAATATGTATTCACCTACCCCAGACAGCGCAGCTGCACTTTGTTGTGCTTACTTCCATCTCCCCATTAACTAACCTACAGCACAGGGTCTCTCTGCAGAGGATCTGATTCTTTATATCCTCACGATGGATGGAGGTCCACCACTCAACGGAACGTAAAAACGCTTTTATGTATTTCCATAACGCATCAAAAAAGGAGTATGCAGAGCATCCAACAAATTCTGGATGTTCTGCAGCATTACGGGGCAAGAAGCAAGCAGAAAGTCAGGACCAAGCCTGACACTGCTTTCATGGATGCCTGCTTCACGAGCAGAAGATGTGGGACAAGAACTGGGAGAGAATGAAGCACATCTACAGGTCTAGCATGTTGTCCCGTGATGGCTACAGCAGGTTGTGCCTGGCAGCCTGCTGGGATTCTGGTGTGGCCTTTGCTGTTGGAAATCACGACCAGCAGAGAAGGCAGATGCTCCATGGGCCACCCCATGAGATCCATTAAATAGCACTAGAGTTTGGCCGTACAACCACACGGTTATGCTGAAACAGAGCAACACGCTCTGTGAAGAACTAAACCACAAACTCTATTTTCCATCCAGCCTTCCTTCTTTTCCTATTTTTTTTTTTTAAATCAAACTCAATGCTTTTTCAGCCCTGCTTACCAGGTGATACCTTGTGCTAAAACCTCTCCAAACATACCTGAAAACATTTTAAATGCAAATTTGAGACAAATATACTGACAATTTACTTTCTGTCTTGTTTGCAACCCAACCCTTTTACCCTTTAAAACCAGTTTTTATCTGTTCAAACCTGACATTTTCAATCTGCGTGCGCCGTGGTACCAAAAAAAAAAAATAATCATACTGAGCAAACCCAGCTTTTAGTTTTATAATTTGTGAACTTCTACTTCTTTTAGCAAATCGTATGCTGAAATTGGAGGGTGAATTGCCGAAAGTGGCCGAGAGCGGGTCCCTCCAACGTGCTACCTTGCTGGGAGGCTACGTCTGGTACCTGGCCCAAAGTAAAATCCTAGTGAAGAAATACGCTCTGGGTTACCTCCAGGGATGCTCCAGGTCAAAGCAGAACCCACAAAAGGGCCTGGAGATGACTCTGATCTTTTAAATAACCCTTTCATGTCTTCCCCAGGAATCATCTATTGCAGGTTAACCCAACTCCCTAAACCGGGGTAAGATGGTGGCTGTGAAGCGAAGCCAAGGATTTGAGGTGCGCACCTCACTTGGCCTTTTAAACCAAGAGTGAAGCGAGAGTCTAAATCCAAATAAACCTCCCAAGAGCAAGCCTAAGTTTTCCATATGTTACCGTGACTGTTTCCTTGGACAGATGTCACATAAACGTACGATGCTCTAGCAGTAATTGAAAGAAATACTTAGGAATAAATAAATCGAAAGGAAAAAAGAAAAAAAAAAAGGAAAAAAAAAATATCCTAGCAACAGACTTCACATGTATTTGAAAGGAGATGGGAGCAGAGGAACTGTGACTAATCAGACATATATTCATATTTGGAAAACGTAATGATAATGCCTTGAAAAGTTGACTAAACTTTGCTATTATTAAACAGGAGCTGCTGGTTTGAGAGAAAAGATGATTTACGATTTCTCACCGTGAGGCTTTTGAACTTTAATCTGTAACCCATGAAAGGGTGCAAGCGGAGCCTGGAAATTATGCTGAGCTTAATTATACTTAATGTGAATTATTCAGAAGTGCAGCAGAGAGACTAAAAATTTACTTCATACAAAGAAGCGTGACATTTTAATTGGTCCTTCAGAAAAGAGACAAAACAATTTCCTCTCCCGAAAATTTACATCTTCCCCATCAAAGCAGCAGCCTCAGCCGAGCAGAACTTCATTAACAAGATTAATTAGCATGCCCGCCTCTGCCTCATCAGGTGTGCAGCCCAGGTGAAAAGCGCGGCCCCCTCCCCGGCGCGCCCCCAGGCTCCGGCAGAAACGGCGACAGATTGAGGGCACCGTACCTTGGTCGTTCGCCATCTTGTCAGGGTGCTCGACTGCAAGAAAGAGACAACGTCATTAGAGGCTGACGGCTCCTCGCCGGCATCGCATCGCCTAGCGGGGTAGCGGGATGGGGCGGCGCCGCCTTCCCGCACCGCGGGCGGATTGGCGCGGGAGGACAAGGATGAGTTTTACCCTTCCCTTTTTCAGAGGGATCCCGGAGAACTGAGAGGACAAACACAGAACCACGGGACCACAGAAGCACAAAATATCTCGAGTCGGAAGGCACCCGTGGGGATCATCGAGTCCAACTCCCTGTGCCTCGCAGGACGGCCTAAAACTAAACCATACGGCCACGAGCATCGTCCGGAGGCTCCTTGAACTCTGAGCACCGGTTGAAGATGCCTTGCATCAGATATTTGCACCAAGTTCTTCCAAATGGGAAACGGCAGCATTTTTTTCATTCCCTTATTTTTTTTTTTTTTTGGTATGAACTGGGAAGTTTAATTAAGCAAGAGGGGAAAGAGACGCTGCTTCTTGAAATAATTACAGTCAAATCACCTACGAGTTGAGAGCTCGAGCTGACTTACATTATCATTGTTTCAGCTTCCTACAAAGGGGTTGAAAACTATTTACATGTTTTTGCATAATAACCATAAAAGAGAGCATGAAAAGTGCACCAGACAAGATTTCAAAATTCAATAGATGTATTAAAAGCTTTCCTGCACAGCTACAACTTCTGACTATTTATGATATGGCTGAGGGAATTAAACTTTTCCTCGGGTTCATAAGTAGCTACCATCGTAGAGCATTAACCAGTCCTCTGCTTAATAAATTATGCAAGACTCTTAAGTACAGGAAATTGGGGGGAAAAGAAGTGATTTGGCACAGGAATCTGGAAGTCAAATAACCCCTGCCTGCAGGTGCAGAGTGCGCTGCTCCCCTGGCTGCTAAAATTAGGATGAAACCTCCTCTCGACCACGGCATCATGCTCGGAGCAAACGGAGGTACTGGATGCCAAGTCCCATTTGCAGACCCATCTATGGGTTCCATGCGGCGGAGGGGGAACAGCCCCTTTGATGACCCCCCAAAACCCTCAGTTAATTATTTTTTTCCCCTCCCTCTCCAACTTTTTCACGGGGGTGCAGAGAAGCAGGGAGCACATTGCCTTAAACGTCCTCGAAATCCGTGAGCTTCTCCACTGGGCTGTCACCTTTCCCTTCAACGGATTCAGGAAAACGTGGAAGCTTGCTCGTGACCACCAAACCATCGAACCACGACGCCAAGGCAGCATTAGAGGGCACTGCAGTGCTAGAAATGCTGCCCCACACCAGCCCTGCCAAAAAGGGGGGTCAAGGCGGGGGGGGACGACGACACACCGACATCATCTGCCATTTCGGGGCTCTTTTAGAAACGGAACAGCGGCAACTTTTAACCTGAAAGCCCGTGAACAGAGTTTTCCTTGCTCATCTTGGCATGACAGGGGGTGGCCTCTTTTCCCTGGTAACAGACGATGGGACGAGGGGGAATGGTTTGAAGCTGCGCCAGGGCGGGTTTAGGTTGGACATTAGGAAAAATTTCTTCCCCGAAAGGGCTGTCAGGCTCTGGAATGGGCTGCCCAGGGAGGTGGTCGAGTCCCCATCCCTGGAGGTATTTAAAAGAAGGAGAGATGAGGTGCTGAGGGACATGGTTTAGTGGTGGGATGGCAGGGCTAGGTTAAAGGTTGGACTCGATGATCTGAAAGGTCTTTTCCAACCAAAGCGATTCTATGATTCTATGAGGGGAATATCTGAGCATGCTCAGCCCATGACCCCTTCCTCCCTCTCGCTCCCCCTTTCCCCTCATCTCTTTAAATCCACACCTGATCCGGTGTTTTAGTCGTGCTCGACGCTATGCCTAGTAAGTGCATTAACAGCCAACTTCTTTCAGTTTGTATATATCCCTGGAATGTTTTGCGTGGTTCTGATACACAGACTACCACGCTCTACTGAATTTTCTGGAATTAAAGGAGCTCAGCACTCAAGGCAGGCATGTTTGTAAAATACAGGCTGAAATCCAGAATAGGTACGGCTGCACCGAAGCAAGCAGAAGCACATTTCCTAAGTGCGGTTCTGAGCTTTGCTTGTTTCTATAATAGATGAAAAATTTAAAAAAAAAAAAAATCACTGATAACGTATTTAATAGAGGAAATCCTCTTTCTCATCTGTCCGTCACCGGTCCATTCCTTCACTCTTTAGTTGTCACGTTTCAACGGGCAGTTGCAAAAAACCCATCGGGCTCTTCATTTACTTCTGCAAGCTCATAAATTTTGGAAGATTTATATGCCATAAAAGTAACGGTAATAGCGAGAGCTGGAATTTCACTTCAGGGGCAATCCGTGACTGCGAAGGGCTGCAAACCACACGATATTATCTGGGCGCTCTCTGCTTCTCTTCCATATACATATATAGATGTATACCTAATATTCACTGAAGTCATCCAGACTCAGTAAGAACAAGAAAAAATCCTAGTAACGACCTCAAATTTTGGCCCAAAATCATACAACAACAACAAAAAAAAAGAAGGCGGGGGGGGGGGATTCAATCACATTTTATCCTTCTATGCCAGGTCCCTAAGAACGTGCAATATCAGATTCTTCATGCTTTAAGTGATAAATTTAACCAGCCGGCGCGTAAAAAAAAGCAGAACCTCAACTGATGTAAACCGTCGTAGACTGATTGAAGTTCACAGTGTAACGACAATTTACATAAGCTACGGATTTGCCCGCTTGCCTGTATATTATCAGCAGCGGAGCTGAGGTGGAAGAATATAAACTCATTGCTCCGTGGTGGTGTTATTTACTACCAAACATATCTCTTTCTCACAGATCACTACGTTTTCATTAGCAAAGGGAAGTCACTACAAATACTCACATCGCAATTACAGCGCAAGTAATGGCTCGCTTTCCTTGGAGGAGCTTTATGTGCTCCGATATACGAAATGAGACAGGGGGTGACTTAGTGGATCTTTGATGCTTGTGTATATATGATGCTTGTTTTGTTCTTCGTGATTTAAAACTCCCGTCTGATCGGTACGTAGCTTTGCCATCAGAGCGCGCATTACCATATGGCACATACACGTCTTGGGTTGATAATCATTAA